CTGATGGCTCTGGTGAGCTGGATGAGCCTGATGGCTCTGGTGACCTGGATGAGCCTGGTGGCTCTGGTGGCTGTAGTGACCGTGGCCCTGGAAGGTGTGAGTGTGGTTCATGCCAGCTATGGTGTTCTCCTGCTGGATAAGGAAACTCCCTTTCAGCTTCATCTCCACCTCCTCCAGGGCCTTCAGCTCCTCCTGGTTGATGTCTTTCGATTCCAGGTGGCCTGAGAGCTGACAAGCTGTGGCTCGCTGGAGCATGGAGTTTGCCAGGTGCCGCCCCTTGCAGTCAATCTCCTTGGTGCAGGCAGCCACTGCAGCCCAGGTGGCCTCATCCGTGGATGAGGATTTCCTGGACTCCTTGTGGGTCTCTTTGATCACGGAGGACCCTGATGTCCGCTGCTTGCTGGTGAAGGATTCCCGCCGGAGAGCAGTGCCTCCCTCTCCATGCCTAGTGGTGAAGGTTTCCACGTGGATCCTGGTGCTTGCCTCCCCACTCCCACTCTCCGGCTGGGGAGTTGTGGTGGCGGCATGGCTGCTGGCATCCAGCTTCTCATCAGAAAGACAGCTAAAGTGAGATTTGATCCAGTCCTCTTTCTTTGCTTTGTGGGATTCTGGTGCCTCAGAGTCATCTTCTACAGACTCAGCAGTGGTCTTCCTTCTCCTCTTCCTCTGAATCCACAGCATGAGGCTTCCGCCTCCTAGCAAGAGGGCAGCCACCAGCACCACCTTGCATGATGGTTGCTGGGCGAGCTCCAAGAAGGTCTCCAGGACCTCAGGCCAGGCAGGAAGAGCTAGGAGCACACTGGGAGTGGGGGAGCCTGGGTGGTCTGGCTCATGCTTGAAAGGCAGGCTCCCCAGGGCTGTCTGGCAGGCAGGCCCCCTGCTGTGCCCTCCCTAGGTGGCCCCTCCCATCGCAGCAATGAAGCCCATTGTGAGGAAGGCGGTTATGGGGGTAGGGTGGGGAGAGGCCAGCATCCCTCATGTCCTGCCTGGCAGGTATTGCATGAGGGTTGGGTCTTTGTCTCCCACCCTGACAGCTGTCCCCAAGGTCAGTGGAAAGGCAGCTTCCCCAAATCTGAGTCTCTTCTGCCTTCTGCTTTGTGACCCATTTTGCAATTTAATCCTTCTTACCTTCTAGTCTTTAGCTTCTCCCCCCCCCACCTGGTGGCCCCTAAGAGGAAAAGCCTGCTGGGTCAGGCTGGCCATGGCACAAGGACCCCCTTGGCTGGGCTGGTATCCATTCTTGGCCACCTGAGCCAAGTGTCTCCCTCCAACCCAGGCCCCCCTCTGCTGCCAGCTCAGTGCATTCCATTCCCACTCATAGCCCCCTGCCACAATCCGAGGCAGAGTCCAGGAGAAAAAGGGCCCCAGGAAGGAGTTCATTCTGGAATAACATGAGGTCACAATTGAAGGGGAAACAGCAGTGGGCTGGGAAAGCAGATAGGACAGGGTTTCACTGGGTCCCAGATCTCTGGGGCCATTCCAGGGTGGGGGCTGCTACCTTGTGCCTTAATGATTCAAACCCAGAATTTGCCCTAGGTAAATGGGCATGGATGAGGTTGGAGTAGGGGGACCAGATGGCTTTCTGAAGGTGCAGAAAACTGAGAGTGTGGCTTACAATCCTGAGTTGTATGCAGGGCCTCTTGGGGAAGAGACAGACCTTGACCTAGTACTATTTTGTTTTTCCCCTAGAAGCATCTAGTATATTAATAAAAAAAAGAAGAAATGCCAAAATATGGTTGTAAAAACTGTGACATTTTAACAAGAATATCTCATTTAGCAAAGTAATGATTTTAAAATACATAAAAATATTCTATCTTATCACAAGATACTACAGTGCACTCTCCATATTGAGGCAATAAGACACAAGTTTCAAAGTGTTACGGGGAACGTATCCTCCCCAAGTCCTGCCAGAGTAGCTCTGGGTTGTCCTCATTTGGAAATAACAACTCAAAATCTATCTCTGAGGTTGTTTGTGAGTGTGAGTTCAGAGTCAAATGGCCCTCCTACAACAACGCTTCCCTCCCTCTTATCTCTGGTTATAACTTTTATTTTAAAAGAAAACTCTTTTTTCAAATAATCAGTACAAATTAACAATGCTAAAAGAAAAAAAATAGTTACACAGTTTCAGGCAATACCCTCCAGAAGAATCTCTAACTGTTCACTGATTCATCAAGGGCAGGTTTCCGCCTCCTCTTTGGAGGATCTTTAACTTGTTGCTGGAGGCCCTTGCTGTGTGCTATGTAATGGTTCCCTCCACTGACCCTGAGTGTAGGGCTGCAAAGCCTACCCCAGCAGCCAGGATAGGGCAAGACAAACACAGATTTTAGAGCTAAAGTTATTCTCTGATCCCTTCTAGGGCATTCTGGCTGTGTCTTGGGAGCAGTGACAGGATCCTATGGCTTTATGTTCCCTGTGCCATTGCTCCATGCTTGAGCTCCTTGGAAGGAGTACATAGAACCCTGTGGCCAGGAACATGAAGACTCAGTTCCCATTTTAAAATTAGAGAGGTTAAGTGAGTTTTCCAAGGTCACTGTCACTGGCAGAACCAGCATTCTTACCCAGGTCTTCTAACTGCAGATGCTGGGCTCTTTCTAGCACAGCCACTGGCTCTCTGGTGTGTGGGTGAGAGAGGAAGTGGGAGTAGGAGGCTGTACCTGTTGCGAGGGAGACAGTCTAGTGGGCTCATGTGCCCCGGGGCTGCCAGATCCACTGCAGCCTGTGCTCCTGGGGCATCCCTATGCCAGCATGGGTGGGAGGGAAGGAGGGTCTCCATGGAGCCTCTGGGTGGCAAGCAGACACTGGCTACAAAGTCCACCCTACCACCCCCATGCTAGGGTGCCCTTGAAGCTGAAGTAGACTTCTCTTCTCTCAGAGATTCAAGGAGCTTCTCACTTTGCTTCCAGAGAACCAGGCCTCAGCCCAAACCTTCAGGCCCTCATGAGCTGAGCCCCAGTAGAATTGGTTGAGAGTTTGTGTCCCTGTTCAGTGTGGGTGTCCACAGGGCCTTCACGGTCCCCTAGGAAAGGGTCACATCACTACACTGCTGAGATATGAATGGGGTCTCAGCCAGGCCAGCTGTCACAGTCACAAAGCAGCTTTGCCCACAATGCCCAACCGTACTGTCATTTTAGTAACTATTTTCACTGGAATTAATTAATAAACTAAAAGGTTGGATGTTCAAGTCCACCCAGAGGCATCTTGGAAGAAAGGCCTGGTGATCTACTTTTGAAAAATCAGCCATTGAAAACCCTATGGAGCACAGTTCTACTCTGACACTCATGGGGTCACAAGTCAGAAATGACTCCGCGGCCACCGGTTTTAACGTGCATCATTCTTCACAATTTACACTGTGCTTTCACTTGCATTCTCTTTTTTTTTTCCCTTCCAGCCATTCTATGACATGGGCATCGTTACTCCTATGTGTCAGATGGGGAAACTGAGGTTTAGAAAGATCTTCCCACAGCTAAGTCAGGCAGAGCTGTGATTTGAATCCAGAGTCCATGTTCTTAATTGCTACACTATGCTGACTTGGCCTAAGCCACTCCACTCCCAAAGCTGATGCCAACCAGACTCTTTTTATTGAAAGGGCCTCAGTAGTCTGGTCTAGCAACTCAGCACGTGTAATGAGAGTCAGCGCAGTGGAGTGAAGCAACATGGGCTGTGCAGTCAGACCTGGGTTCAAATCCCAGCTCAGCTATGTATGAGCTGAGCGACCTTGGGCAAGTGACCACATCCCTCTGAGCCTCAGATTCCCATCTGTGAAATGGGGCTATTGACAGTACTCCCTCAGGGGATTGTCATGGGTGACTGAGGAGGACAAACAGGGTAGGACGGACAGAATTCACCATTTCTTCTACCTTCATGTATTGTGCCCGTGTCTCTGTTGGCTGTTGCGTGTCACAAATGTGATCTGGCCCCTGACCTCAGAGAGGGGGATATCCATGTGTAAAAGGAGGGAATGAATCAGACAGCCCTGGTGCAGGAGCCAGAACAGGCAGAACTAATTCTGCCAAAGGAGGCTTCGCCCAGAAGACAGCACACGGGGCCTGGAGGAAAGTGAGGCTGCTGGCCAGCTGCCACGCAGGAACACCGATGCCCTCACATCTGCACAGAGGCCTGGTCGACAAAGACTTTCACACTTGTTCTTTAGTTTGATCCCCACAATAAAGTGCTAAGAAGGCACTTTAGTAGTTTACAGCTGGGGAAACTGAGACAGCAAAGTTCAGTCTAAGGTCACAGGCCAGCAGGAAGGTTTCCACCAGTGCCCCCTGTTCCTCTCCCATAATAAAACGACCCCAAGCTGCCTGAAAAGCCGTGAGAAACCAGGGAGCATATGTACCTCCCCATGGTCTCTGGCTGAGGAGCACCTGGTCATTAAAATCTCCCCTGCTGCCCACAGCAGACAGGTCCCACTTACCTTTGAAGGGGAAGGTGCCCAGTTTGTGCAGATTCTCCTTCAGTTTCCCATAGTCCACCTCTGCAGTGGCAGTGAAGGGGGTGGTCACTGGGGGGTAGATGCCTGCAATGTCCACCTTCCTCCCCTCCCCTGACGCCCACCCACCCACGTTCCTGGACAAGCCTCTACTCAGCCCTTGCCTCACAGAGGACCAGACTCGGGGGACCAGCATCTCTGCAGGAGGCCCTAGGCCCAGCTGGTCTCTGCCCTCAAAGTGAGGCTGAGCTTGGACTCCTTCCTACCCTGTTAATGATCAATGTGTCAAGTTAAAGATTTACTGCCCCTGACTCTTGAACGCTGGGGCAGGCCTGGGCTGAGCACCCCCCACTGGGGTCAGAGGCAAGGCCAGAGGCGAGGGTTCCTCTCAACCCCCGGGGAGCAGCTGGAGAAATGCCACAACCCAGTGTTCCTCTGGCCAGATGGAGGGCTGGCTCTTGGGGTCCCAACATGAAAAGGTGTCTTCAGCTGGGTCTGGGCCCCTTCTCCCGCATTCCCAGCCCAAATCCAGGAGCCCTGCTGGACTTCCGCTCGGCAGTTCTGCGGCTGGAGCCCATTGGCTGAGCAGGCTCTGCCCTGCCGGAGAGGGAGCTGGGCCAGAAGCTGCCTGTGAAGGGCCGCCCCGCCCCTTCTCCCTTGCCAGGCTCTTCCTGTCATGGTTCTTGCGACAGGCCTGTGTTGGCCACACATGGCCCCAGGGACAGCGATCACCAGGAGGGGCGCCCAGGCTGAGCACATAGAGAAGTTGATCCGCGCAGGGGCCAACTTGGCCATGGGAATTGGGAAAACAGGGGGGCAAGGAAGGAGCGAGGAGAAGAGACCGCAGCAGAGGCGGCAGCGCTGGCTCAGGAAAGCCAACATCTCCAAGTCTTCCTCTCCCCGCAGCCCACCCTTGCCCCCATTCTTCCTGCATTCCTAAATATTTCTGACACAAATGGAAACAAATGTCACAAACAGTAAAAACGAGTTTTTTTTTATTGCAGTAGCTTGCTGGGTGCTCTCGGGTCAAAGAAGAAGTACCACTTCCGCAGTGGAACGGCTGAGCCCTCAGAGTTAGTTCTGGGCTGGCTCTGGGCACCGTGACAGTCTGCCTGCACGCAGGGGATGGGCTGGCATAGGCGTTTACTGCGCTGGCACAGGCTGGGGGGTCTCCCGCCCACTCTTGGTGGGACCCTCCAGTCCATTCTGCTCCAACTTCTGCTCAGGGTGCTCCAGGGCGTTCCGGGTGTCAGCCTGCCACAGCTGCACTAGGTCCGTGGGGGTCTTTCCTGCCTGTGGGAGCCAAGAAGAGATCGATTCTCTGTTCAGAGTCTGTGCCAGGAGATGGCCTCCTCTACACCAGAGGTTCTCAACCAGGGGTGATTGACAACATCTGGAGACATTTTTGCTTGTCACATCTCGGGGTGGGTAGGTACTACTGGCATCTGGTAGGTGGAGGACAGGGATCCTCTAAACAGCCTACAAGGCACAGGATAGTTCCCCTACAACACAGAATTATCCTGCCCAAAATGTCAGTAGTGCCAAGGTTGAGAAACCTCCCCCATATCTTCCTGCTTTTTCTTGAGCAGAGGGACCCCAATGAAGACACTGAACAAGGGGACATAGGATCCTAAGGGAACTCAAGGACCGCTAGGAATCCACATGAAGTGCTAGAAATGGTTGTGCCAACTAAGTGCTTAGGTTCCTTCCAGCTCCGTCCGTGCAAGATCTTGGTCACCCTGGGCAGATATTAGGAACCCCGTTGGTCTATATGGGGGCCTTTGGGATGTCCTCTTACTGCCCCTACTGGCTGTTTCTCTGTATTAGCACTCTGGACGTAGATAGGCAGAGAGAATGGGAAGGTGGGTGGTTGGAAGAGGACCTTACTTTTCTGGTATTGCGGTGACAGGCCAGAGCCAATGATATCTATCCTTAGGTTAGGCTTCCCTGGGGCCCAGAAAGACCCCGTCCCCTGTGAGAGTGCTCCGAGGGCCAGCTGAGTCTTGCTAGACCCTTAAGTTTCCTCTGGGTCCTGGATGAGCAGTGCACACTGATTACTGAATCTGGGAGGAAGCCAACTTACCAGGTTCTTGGTCATCATGTCAGCCCCGTGTAGAAGCAGCAGTTTGATGATTTTGTAGCGGTTGAGCCTCACAGCATCATGCAGGGCACTGTCCCCTTCCTAGAGCCAGTATGGCACTCAGCATGGCCCATATAGGCAGCAGGACAGGAGCAGGGTGACGGGAGGTGGGCTAGAGCCCCTGCTCAAGAGCCAGACAGTTCTGAGGACCTGAGAGGGAAGGCCCACTCACATGTGGGAGCCTTAGGGGGGCCCACACCCCCATGGTGGGGCTGGGCAGGAGGACAGCTGGGCACTCACTCTGTCTTTGGCATTGATGTCCAGGCCCAGGGATAAAAAGTGTTCCACGATCTCCACGTGCCCCGTCCGGACTGCCACGTGCAGAGGGGTGCTTAGCAGCTGGGAGAGAAGTAAGCAGAAACTGCTGGGGGTGGGGGGCCTGAACTGGAGTGCCCCTAGGGGGGCCATCCTAACTCCAGGCTAATCCCTCCCCCAAGTCCTATTGCTAAGGCCTGAGCCCTGAAGGCGCAGGGAAGTGGTACAATTTTCCACTCATTGTATCCAATGGTTTAACTCCAACTTATCAAATGCTATGTCCACTGGGAAGCCTTCTATGATCTCCCTCTCACCTTGTTGCAAGTGACCGCTCATGCCTCTGCACTTCTTTTATTACAACCAAAAACCAAAACCAAACCTGTTGCCATTGAGTCCATTCTGACTCATAGTGACCCTACTGGACAGAGCAGAACTGCCCCATAGGGTTTCCAAGGAGTGGCTGGTGGATTCGAACTCCCAACCTTTTGGTTAGCAGCCTGAGCTCTTAACCACTGTGTCACCAGGACTCCTTTATTATAATAGATGCCATTTATTGAGAGATGATTATTTGATGGGCATGGCGAAAACTCACAAAACTTTGTCGTTGTATATTGAATGAATTAAATTATTTATTTACATACATTTTCCATCTAATCTACCTGAGAACTCTGCAATATAGATATTATCTTTTCCGTTTTGCAGATGAGGAACAGAGACTCAGAGGCTAAGTCACTTGTCCAAGATTATACATGAAGGAATGAACGAATAGAAGAATAGTGGATTAATAAATAAGTGAACCAATGAATAGATTAATGAATAGACAAATGGATGATGGATGGATGAATAGACAAAAGAATGATGGATTTCATGGATGAACAAATTCTACGTCTTTTGAACAGCCCCAAAGCCAAGATAATGATCTCTTCTTCCCTATCTCTCCTCTTCCCGCCCAACCCCCAGATGGTGCTCCCCCAAAGGCTGCAGATGATGGCAGGGACCCACCCCTAGGATGATGGGCCAAGCAGGACACTGCCTTAGCTTCCTTGCTTTTCAGCCATTGTAGAAACCAGACTAGCTCACCATCTTCCTGCCCCCTGTGCTTTTCTGCCCTCTGCCTCCCCAGACACACAGCCACCCCAATACCTGTGAGCATTTTTGCCTCACCTTATCCCTCACATCGGCGTTTGCTCCCCGGCTTTGCAGGAGTTTCACTACTTCCAAGTGGCCCCCACGGCAGGCCCAATGCATAGCTGTGCAGTCCAGCTAGAAGGGAAGGATGAGACCTAATAGCAGAGCTGTAGAGAATAAAGTGTCCTGGGGGGAAAGGGATCCCACAAAGAGGGCAGGAAGTGTCCCAGGTAAGGCACAGAGAAGGACAGAGGTACCCCTGTGCATAGGCAATGGGCCAAGCAGAGCAGAAGAAACCTCAGGGCTTAGCTAGTCCAAACCAGTCATGCAGAGAGGGTGTAGGGAAGAGATGGGGCTTGTCCAAATTCACACGACCCGCTAGAGTTGGGGCCTGCCCCTGAGGCAGCCTGTTTGTGTCCCAGCTTGGCACAGGTTTGTAGGGAGAGGGGCTATTGGTGCTGGACCCACCTCCTGCCTCCCACCCAATACCTGCCTCTCTTGCTCACCCGGTCCTGGAAGTCCACAGTGGCCCCACTCTCCAGAAGCTTCTCCAGGATTTCCATGTGTCCTTCCAAGGAGGCTCTGTGCAGTGCTGTCCTGCGGAACTGCCCCCAGAGAGATTATCAGGACCTGGCCTCTGCCCCAGGCCTGCACCTACCTCCCACCTGAGTCAAGGCCCAGGCCTTACCCCAGCTCAATTCTGACCCCTCGCTGGATCCCCATGTCTGCCATGTTCTGCCAGCTCCTTCATGCTCTATCCAGAGCAGACTTGGAGCCCTCTTCTGCCCTGAGGACTCTGACAGTCTCACTGTCCCTCAAGCACATCAAGCCATGCCTTTGCAGAGGTTTCTTGCTCTGCCTGGAATGCCGGTGTTGCCCTCACTCCTTTCTTGCTTGATGAATTCCTGCTACTCCTTTAAGATGCAGCTCAAATGCCATCATCTCATTGAAACCTCTAGGCCAGAGCTGTCCTAGGCCCAGACAGATTCTGGCTCTGAGGGCAGGCCGAATCTTGCTCGATTCTCTTTCGCCTGTGTGTCTAGCAGGGCCTTCCCAATGCAGCCCCCTTTCTCCCGTGGACTCGTGAAACACTCGGCCCACAGCGCTTATCTTTCCTTATTCTAATTATATGGTTATGTGCCAGTCTCTCCCTACTCTCAACCCAAGTCTTTTTCTTTTTTGTACTCCTAGCACCTGGCCCAATGCTTGGACAGACCAAAAGGGTGAAGTCTCCTGAGTCTAAAGAATGGAAAGAACACTTGGTCAAAGCCTAGAAAAATGCAGACTGAAAGTAGGTGACCATCAAGTTGTTTAACCCCAGGATATGGAAACGAGAGAGCATCCGTGAAGGTGAAAAGAGGTAGTTTCAGAGAAAACAAAAGGGGGTACAATATTATATCATGAGACACAAAAATAAAATATCTTATCCTGTTGTTAGCTGCTGTCCAGTCAGTACCTGACTCCTGGTGACCCCACGCACAGTAGGATCAGACCATTGTGATCCATAGGGTTTTCACACTTTTTAGGAAAGTAGATCACCAGGCCTTTCCTCCCAGTCCTCTTAGTCTGGAAGCTCTGCTAAAACCTGTTCAGCGTCACAGCAACACACAGGCCTCCGCCAACAGACAAGTGGTGGCTATGCCTGAGGTGCCTTGGGGTGGATGGAATCAAACCCAAGTGTCCTGCATGGAAGGCAAGAATTCTACCTCTGAACCACCAGCACTGCTGCTAATATCCTATCCTACCATGTGCCTTCTGGCTTTTTCCATTCATTTAGTAAATACTTATCGAGGTACGAATATTCCACTTGATCCCCATAACACCCTCTGAGGGAAGTAGGCCACTTTACAGAGGAGGAAGCCGAGGCACAGGGAGGTGACATGCCTAGCCTCAGGTCACACAGCTAGTGACAGGTAGAGATGGAATATGAATCCATATCTCCTGGTCTCAGGTTCTTTTTTATTTTATTCTATTCCTCTTCCTCCCCTAAATAAACAAATGACATTGGTTACTCTGGAGGTGTTTCAGGTTGAAATGGGTCTAAGAAGGATTTAGATAAATTCCTGTGTGAGGAAGGGGGCATCCCAAATCTTCTGAGGGGGCCCCCCTGAAAGAACACAATGACTGCTCCCAAATAGGCCCACAAATGGCTGAAAGCAGATCTGGGCGGGGTAGGGGGTGGCAACTCTGAAAGAGAGGCAGGCGCATGGGCGGGGTGGTGGCATCACCTGATCACAGGTGTCAGCTGAACCCCCATCAGCCAGGAACTTCTCAATAACCTTCATTTTCCCCTCCACCGATGCTTTAAGGAATGTCTCCGCATCTATGGGGCCAGTCTGCAGGGTATGAGTCCAGTCAGTGAGGGCTGCCCACCTCATTCCCTCTCCTCCCCCCTGCAGGGATCCCAGGCCCACCCTGGCTCTGCCCAGCCATGCAGGTGTCCTCCCCAGGACAGGGGCCCATCTACGGAAAATAGGGCCTAGGGCAATTAGTGTTAAATTGCTGAATGGTCTCTCGCAGCTGGTGATGGAAACTGTGATGGCCAACAGAAACTGCTCACTGGTGCCCCACCTCAAGAGGTGCTCAGAGCAGGTGCCCGGCCTGGCCGTTACTCTGCTCCCGCCCCCACCCCCCCCTTAAGCCTCTGCCCCAGGACCCTTACGATCTCCTCCTCGGGCTCTGCAGGTGGCTCCTGGGAGGCAGCCAGGGCTTCGCGTTTCTTCTGCTTCCGTTTTTTCCGCAGTTCAATGAGGTTCTGGATCCCCCCCACATCGATAATCTCCCTCCGTAGGTCCAAGGACGTCTTGCGCACTCGCTCTTGGCCCTGCGTGGGGATGGCCCATCAACTCCCACACAGAAGCGTGGGGGCTTGGCCCCTGAGCTAAGCCTGGCAGGGAGCAGATAGGCCTTCTCAAGAGAGAAGAAACCCTGGCCTACCTCTCCTTCCCAGGACTAGGAGAAGCCAACGAGACACAGTGCAGACATGCAGTAGGAGTGGAGCTGCCCGCTTCAGGGCTGCACACAGTGTGGGGAATTAGATGGAGAGACTCTCCAGGGCATTTCTTAGCCCAGGTCTTCAGCACAGCATCTGAATCCTCAGCTTTCCACAGCAATTCCATTTTTTTTAAAAAAAATAATTTGTGTGTGTATGTGTGATCTTGAAAGTAATACATGACTACTATAAGAAATAGGAGTGATATAGAAGCAGAAAAGGTAAGAAGTAGGGGGGGCTTTCTCCTCCCAGAGCGTCTGGTTTATGGCTCCAGCCCCTATGGCATGTCCTAGGGAATCATCTTCTTCATACTGTGCTGGGACCTCTTGTTTTCTCTTAATAAGGTGGAAATACTCCTCGTCTGCCCACACAGTCTCCCTGGGCCTGAGCGGGTCATCATGACCTTCGGTGTGGCTGTCCCATCACTCAGGGCTTCCAAAATTTTCACTGGCACGTGAATCCCCTGGAGTCTTCTCAACATGCAGGTTCTGACTCAATAGTTGTGAGTGGAGCCCGCAATTCTGCATTTCTGACAAGCCTCAGAACCACACCAGGAGTAGTGAGGCCATACTGCCTGGCTGGTCCCCTGAGCACAGACACTGGGTTCTCCCCACACTTACCTTGACCTTTTGTAATGCCTGACTCTGAGCCCCTTGGTGCTTCTCATCCTCTAACACCAGCTTGTCCATGGGCAGCTTCTGGTGGGCAGCTCCTCGGAGCTTCTGGTGAGTGAAGGAGAGGATGTGCCCAGGACCTGCCCGCAGCCGTTGGGGAGACAGGCAGCTTTCCCCCAAACCCCTATACCCACTCCAGGGGAATCCCAGGGATGCCAAGCTTGGGCCTGATGCTCCCACAAACCTCCTGTGACCTCAGAGCCCTTTGTCCACCCCATTCCTGACCGGTCCTGAGGGCCCTTGGAGGGGACCCCAAAATGGGACAAGTTCTACAGCTCCCCACCTCAGTCTGAACTCCAGCCCCCGCTCAAACCCCTCCCTGTCCACTGACTGTGTTGTGGGTGGGTTCCCAGCCCTAAACAAGATTAAGGGCAACTAGAGTGAGTTTTCATGGAATTAAATATATTCACTTTTTCAAACACTAAGATCACGTTCTTTTTTTTGGCATTAAAAATTCACCTAATGAAATAATTGTAATAAGAAGTGATAGTTGTTTTTTAAATGACCTTACTTGGCAATATAAAAATCTGGTAAGTCTATGTCAGCCACCGATTTTTTTTTCTCTCTCTCTCTGATTTTACTGATCCATGAAATCCTAAGGCTTAGAAGCTGTTGCTCTAAGGGAAGGGGAGGAATTGGAGCAAAAGCGCCTTGGCTTTCCAGGTGAAGTAGCCTCTAGGCATTAACCTTATTCTCATTGTAGTAACACAGGTTACACTCCTTCCAAATCTCTGTCCATCTGTAGCTCTGATTTTCCTGGGCTACTTCCTCGTGGCCTTCTCTCCTCTACAGGAAATGGTCTTTGTAAATTACTGGCACCCCATCTCTGGAGTCCCTGTGCGTGGCTTGCATTGATCTGAGCCCATGCCTAGAGAGAGCTGAATCAAGATGGCAGCTGGGGAGGGATAGCCATGCTTTATTGAGTGCTTAGCTGCCGTTCTCATTTCTCACTGAACTCTGGTGTTACACCCTTCAGGGTGGCTTGTATAGCTGATTTCCCAGGTCTTCATTTTGAAGGTCCTGCTATCTACTGGGAGCCTTGGTGACACGTGGTTAAGCGTTCAGCTGTTAAACAAAGGGTTGGCAGTTTGAATCCACTAGCCACTCTCTGGAAACCCTAGGAGCCAGTTCTACTCTGTCCTGTAGTGTTGCTATGAGTTTTAATAGACTCAACAGCAACGAGTTTGGTTTTGGTGTTTGGCTATCCACTGCCTTCTCCCATGCTGGCCCCACCTGAAACAGTGCATCTTCTTCCAGGGACAAAGAATGACCTGGGGCTATGACTACTGCTGCATGTGGGACCCCGGCTGGCCCTAATGGGGCTCTCACAGAGCATCTAGAGAGGCAGAACTTGTGTCTTTATCATCTTGGTATCCCCAGCACCTATGCCAGAGCCTCATACACAGTAGGTGCTCAGCGAATGTTTGGTGAAATGAATGAGTAGATAAGTGAATGGATGCTGGCAGGTAGGCTCAGCATCTCTGCCCACCCCCAGGTCCTCAGTGATGACCCAACTCAGTAAGCACTCCACAACAGGGCTCCAGCCCTGGGCTGGCCTCCAGGACCTTCTTCCTCTCCCCAAGTGGGGCAGGCTGGGCAGAGGCTCTCCTCCCAGAGCCCTGGTAGGCTGGGGCCTGGTGGGAACAACTGGGGACTCTAGTACCCACCCATGTCTTACCTGGATTCTATAACCCCTCACTTCAGATTTGCCTTTATGGGCTGGCATACAGTAGGTACTCAATAAATATGTATTGAATTGGATGCTATTTATTAAAACAAGACCAAAGAAAACTCCCACCCCTACTTCACAGATTGTTGTTCAGATTAAATGAGAGAATGACTGCAAAATGCTTAGCCCAGTGCCTGGCACACCATAGGTAGTGGGTGGGAGGCCGACTCTGTGGGCTGTAGCTCCTTAAGAGCCCTGCAGCTGTATCTGTTGGGTGAATGAATGGATGAGGACTGCTCGTGTCCCCTTGTTGAAGGTCCTGTGTCCTGTGGCAGCACTCCAGATATGGCCTGGCAACATGACTCACCTGCCTGACGCCACCAGCCTGCATGCACTGGATTCCTGGAGAGCCAGGGATGCCTCGGCCAGGATTCCAGCAGGCTCAACCAAAGCCCTTCCAGACAAACTCGCCCTCCCTTCCCAGTCCTCCCTCTTCCTCCCCGGAGTCCTGATTCTTACCTCTTCGTCATCAGCCCCTCATTCAGCCATTTGTCGTTTTTTTGAAGGGAGTCTCCCTCTAGATGAATCGATCTCCTCCCTCCCATTCTGTTAGGACCAGTCTTTCCCTCTCCAACAAGTCTTTCTCAAGGCTGTCAGAGCTGCCTTCCTGAAACAGGTCAGATGACTCCACTCTCCATCCCTCAGCAACATTTAGTGGCACCGTACTGCCTACAGAATAAATGCTTTTTACATGGCCCTCTCTGGCTTGTCCATGCCTCCCTTCCCAGACTTAGCTCCCGACTTTTCATTCTAGCCACACTTTCATTCCCTGGAACCTCAGCTGTCATTTCCTTAGCCTGAATGCCCGCCTCTTCCTGATCTCCACGTACTATCCTTTAAGGCCCAGCTCAAATACCCTCCTATCCACAGAGCAGTCCTTGAGAGCCCACAGTTGGGATGATTCTCCCACCCTTGTGCTCTTTCACTTCTGATTTGACACCTCTGTCTAACTGTTTCTCCACTTGGCCTTGTTTCTAGGTTGACTCTGCATCTGGCAAATGCTGGTTAAGATAAATGCTGGGCTGGTAGAAAGCAGGCAGGCTTTGGGCCTTGCTGATCCTCCCATTCTTCACAGCACCCCTGGCAAAGCAGATACTAGGCCAAGTATTAATTTAAAGAAGACAAGCCAGCACCCCAGGGAAAATACAATTGCCCAGAGCCCCAGGCTCCAAAGCCCTCCCCAAACTGGGGCCAGTGATCCTGGGAACAATCCATGCTCCTTTTTCCAGCACCCCCTCCCTCATTCCCCAACTGTATTCTTCTTTAGTGACCAAAACACTGAAGTTTCTCCCATTCTGGCTTCCCATACAGCAGCTGAGAGATCTCTGATTCCAGGCTTCCTGACGTCCTCAAGCAGTGCCCCAGCTTTTCCACCCTATGCTGCCCAGCTTGTCTTCCCCAGCGCAGGTGGGTGGGCAGGTCCTTAGGGAGCCCAGTCTGGCTCCCCCATGCCACTGTCCTTCAGTTCTCGGGGCTGAAGCCTCATTATCCGCCACCCCTCGGTCAGAGCACCCTGGAGCAGGAGTGGGGGCAGCCAGGCTCTTGGGGACACCTGCTCCCTCCCCACTGCAGGAACAGTAGCCAGCTCTCCTATCCCTCAGCAGTAGAGCTGGGTCTCCTCAGACCCCCCTTGGGCCCCTACCCCCTTCCGGCACCTCATTCTCCTCCTCCTGCACCAGCCGCTGCTCGATGAGCTCTGTGGCCCTCTGCACTGCCTCGGAGCCCGCCATGGTGCCGTCCCCAACTTCTCTGTGGGCTGCGGAGCTGTGGGGGCTTTATAGGGCAGAGCACCCACCCCCGCCCGACTGGGTGCCTTTGCCATGAGCTCACTAGCCCAATTCTCCACCTGCCTCCCCCACCTGTCACCTTCACCCCGGGTAGCCCCAGGAAGCAGGGACAGCTGCCCCCACCACCCATGGCCTATTGCAACAGGAGGGTACAGAGCCCCGAGAGCAGAGGCTGCAGGAAGGAGCCTGTCCAGCCTCTGTCTTGTGTGTTGGGGCCCAGCTGGACCTTAACTAGGGCCTCTGGGCTGCACAAGGGGCCCGCTGGCTGCCTCTGGCTGGGATGGCACTGCCACCGGCCGGGTGCCTGAAAACTCTGACCAACCAGTGCCAGTGAGGGGGCGTGAAAGCCAAATGTGAGGACCCAAGGCAGGCCTGCACCCCAGGCTGTCTTGTGGACAGGCCCTGCTGGTTCCGGGGAAGACCAGACTCTGCCTTGCCAGGTCAGAGTGCCAGAGCAGCGTGTGGGAGCAAGGGCAACTGCCTCTCTCTGCCCGCAGCTGGTGTTGGTGTTTCTGGGGTCCCACAGTGCCCCCTAGTGGAGCATCTCTGCATCTGGCTGCATGTTCATTGTGTGCTGCTGATTCTGACTCATAGAAACCCTATATGACAGAGTAGACCCCATAGGGTTTCCTAGGCTGTAATCTTTACAGGAGCAGATCAACAGGTCTTTTAACTCCCAGAGCTATTGGCAGGTTTGAACCACTGACCTTTCAGTTAGCAGCACAGTGCTTCACTATTGTGCCACCAGGGCTCCTTGCGTGTTCATTAGCCACGGACAAACCTTATTCATCTGCCTCCTTCCTAGTCGCTGCCTCAGAGAAAGTGCTCAGGAGGCCTCTGCGGGACTTACAGGGTCCCTCTCTTCAAGACAGGCCTCAGGAAGTCACTGAAAGGGCCAGAGTGCAGTGTCAAGCCAGCCCCTGCGCATCCTTCTCTCATGGTGTTTCCCTATCAGGCTCACAAGTGCCAGGCTACCCTGACTGGGGCGACCATGCTCACTGAGAGAAAAATACCACAAACTGCAGAAAAAGTAGGTCTTTATTTGCTTGGTTGCACACCTGTAATTTCTAGGAGTGAGTGAGCCCTGGGTCGTTAGGACCCAGCGTTACCTGAGATACCACATCCTGCAGTTCTGTAAAGTTCACATGCCCATTCTTGGGTAAACAACCTTATCTCAGATTCCTCTCTCTTTTTATGAACACATCCCCTTGCGGAAGCACGAAGAACTGGTTTGTCTCTTTGGTTGGCTTGCTGGCAAGCCCAACACAAAATTTTCATCCATGCTCATCATCTACATTTGTTAGAGAGTTTGCTTTGACCATTACCAAGGGCATAGCGTCCCCCCAATTTCCACATACCTCAGTCCTGGAGCAGACTAGCAGGCAACTAATACTACCTTCCTGAGGTGCTGCCTTTGCTTTCAAAGCACTTTTTCATGTTACCCCATTTAATCCCCCCAACAACTGAGGGAAGAAGCAGCATAGGTGGCAACATCTCCACTTTAAAGATAAGCAAAGTGGGTTCAGAGGGTAAGTGGCTTTTACTGAGGTGGGATCAGGGTTCAGAAGGTGGGATCAGGGCTTGGAAGACTAGCAGTTCAAGGCTCACTTCACTGCATACTAAGCTTTGTCAGAGTGGCTGGGGGAGGCACCACACCACCCATTCCCATACCAGAACTGCTCCTAGAAACCAGGCCCTGGCTCTGGGGGCACTGCAAAGCTGCAGGAGAGCTCAAAGTCAAATGCCAGGCAAGAGAGAAGGAGCAAAAGGCTTTATTGATAAATATGCAGAAAATATCTGTACACAGGGCCCTGCTGTGGGACCACGACCAGGCTGTAGACCCCCCACCGCCTGGGTTACAGCCGGGAGATGGCCCTGTGCAGACCCCTGCCACAACAGCCCAGCCGTCCGGCCACCACCTCATCTCTGCCAATTGTGCTGGGGGCAGGGAGAGGCAGAGGCCCGCCTCAGACTCTCCGCACCCTGGGACCCACTGTGGTCCCCTCCCCTCCAGGGGATTGGCGCTGCGCCCAGGGCAGAGTCCGGGGGTGGGGGCAGGGGCAGGAGACAGCAGCTGCTTCAGACCCTGAGCAGAAAACTGGAGTGAGCACAGCTGGCAGCACCAGATGACAGGTCTGGGCTCTGGGGGCCTCCAGGCCGACCCTCATGGCTCGAACCTGCTTTGGGAGAGGGGCAGGGTGGAGGGCCCCAGTTCGCCTATTCTCTGACAAGGTTGGCAAGGCCTGTGTGTGGCAGCACTGCTTCTGAGTGCTGGGCACTGGTGGCCCACATGCCCCTGGGAGGCAGGGTTACTTCTTGGCTCGCCCAGCAGCCATCCGGTGGGGAGGCACCCCCCAAGAAAATAACACCACTTGAAGGCAGCAGCTGGGTGGGGGGCCTAGTGCTCCAGGCGGGAGGCCTGTCAACCCCGCGGAGGCCCTCCTCGGCCTCTCTTCCCAGGGGTTCGTGGGCCCATCAATCCTGGGGCGGCGGGGGCTGGTTGATGATGACCTGGATGACAAAATCTTTCTGGATCTTGGTTTCCTGGAGCCGCGTGCGGTCTGTGAGCAGCTTCCCGGAGAAGAACCATCGCTGCCAGGACGGCTCGATGCCCTCCTGGGCGTGCAGCTGCCTCTTCAGCTGGCCCACTGTGTCGGGTAGGCTGGCGCTAAGCCTCACGTCCTTGCCTGTGGAGAGGCGCACCTTGAGTGGGAACTCGCGGCGCACGCTGGGAGCAGGCTCGGGGGGCTCCACACTCTCCTCCTCCGTGTGCTCCAGCAGCAGGTTCACGGGTGGTGATAGGCAATAGATGGGCAGCTGATAGCGATTGCCCAGCTCATCGTAGCATTCACAGAGGGTGCCTGGGGGAGAGGCAGAGTGATCAGAGTCTGCTCAGGGCCCACTGTGGCCACCCCACGGTCCCCAAGCCCACACATTCGGGCCTCTGAGAGACCACCTCATGACTGGAGGAACACAGGTCTAGGGTCAGGAAGACCTGGGCTTGCACCCTGGCTCCGCCATGTACTGGCTCGTTTAACCCCAGCAAATCACTTCACTTGTCATTTGTTCATTCAACAACTCCCTCCTCAGCATCTGTGCTGGGGATACAAGGATGGATGAAATAGCACAGGCCCTGCTCTTAGTGGTTTACATTGTTGTTGTTGTAAGCTACTGTCAAGCTGGATTCTGACTCACAGAGACCCTGCCCTAACCAGTTGCTGTTGAGTCGATTTCAACTCCTGGTGATCCCGTGTGTGCAGAGTAGACCTGCACTCGATAGGGTTTTCACAGCTGTGACCTTTTGGAAGCAGATAGCCAGGCCTTTCTTCTGAGGAGTCTCTGGGTGGGTTCAAACCACCAACCTTTTGGTCAGCAGTCAAGTCATGGCTTCCAACTGGTTCATTCCAGTTTGAACCCCTGCTGAGAGTTTGCATTTCTAACAACTTCCCAGAAAGTTATACCTAAGAATCACTTGGAGATCTTGTTAAATTGTAGATTCTGATTCAGTATGTCTGGGGTGAAAATGCAAATTCTCAGCACAGAACTTGTTAGAAATGAATTCTCAGCAGGGGTTCGAACTGGAATGAACTGGTCTGAAGCCCTGAGTCAAGCATTTAACCATCTGTGCCACCCAAGGATTCCAACCCCACCCTAAAAACCCCCCAAAAACCAAATCCGTTGCTATCGAGTCGATTCCGACTCACAGCAACCCTATAGGTCAGAGTAGAACTGCCCCACAGGGTTTCCAAGGAGTGGCTGGTGGATTCGAACTGCTGACCTTTTTGGTTAGCAGAGGTAGCTCTTAACCACTGTGCCACCAGGGTTCCAACCCCACCCTAGTAGGTCTCAATTTCCTTACTTACACAATGCACTGCATTCAGAGATATATAAACTGACTGGGTCGAGTGCTTTTTCAGTGCAGGGCACTGGACTAGACAATGTTACACGTATCTTGTGGGAGCCTGACAACTCTTCTGTGAGGTAGGTATTCCCACTTCACAGTTGAAGCCACTGAGGGCCTAAATTGGGGAAGCTCGTTGCTCAAGGTCACACAGCTAGGAAACAGAGATGCTCAGGTTAAAATCCAGGTCTGTGACTCTGGAGTTCCATTCTTACCCTCTACTCTACACAGCTTCATAAGGTTGCTATGAACTTAAATGAGATTATGCAGCAGAAGCTTCTAGTTCACTGCCCAGCACACAGCAAGCACCCAATAGAAGTTTGGTACCCTAGGTGTTCTGGGATCCCAAAGCAAATCTCTAGCTGCAGCCTCTTTGGTGTGCTTTCTGTCCTCTCACTGGGCAGGCAGGGGCTGTGTCTCATTTTTCTTTCCACCCCCACTCCTGGTCCATGCTCAGTAAAGGGTTGCTTGAACAAACACGCGAATAGCCATATACTCCCACCCCTGTTGCCTTTAAGTCAATTCTGACTCATAGTGACCCTAAACGATACAACAGAACTGCCCATTGGGCTTCCAAGGCTGTAATCTTTATGGAAACAGGCTGCCATATCTCCCCCCCTGCCCCCCCGAGTGGCTGGTAGATTCGAACAGCCAACCTTTTGGTTAGCAGCTGAGCGCTTAACCACTGTGCCACCAGAGCTCCTCACACACCCTACCCCACCAGTTTTTTACCCCCACCCACAAGCTTGGATAGAAACTCCTGGCATGTGCCTGGCTGTTGGCTTTCCTCCACCTCTGAATGGCCCCGATGGCCCCCTTGCTCCAGTGGAGACAAAGCCCCAGCCCTGCCCACTCACCATGAGGCAGGGTGATGCTGGCTCCGTCCAAGATGGCCTGTGCCAGCTCGTGGTCATTGGCCTCAGCTGCGTAGGCAGCGGCCTTGAGGGCATCCCAGATCTCCTTGCGGCCCTCGAAGGCAGGGGCCGTGTCCCAGAATTCATCCCGTTTGCTCCGCAGCTGCCCATCGGTCATGGGGTAGTCGCTCTTCCACTTCAGCCGCTCCTTCTTCAGGGGCTCGTTGCGTCCTGGGCAAGACAGAGGCAGAGGCTCAGCATCTCTTAAAGCCACTCAGGGCCGCAGCTTGGCTTCTACCCAGCCCCTCACGTCCCCGGCCAGGACTCGACCTCCTTGGCACCTTGTACACTGGCTCCCAAGTATTTAGGTCTCTGGGGCCATTCCTTGGAGTCTAGAAGGACTCTGGAAACTCCATATACACGACCTTTTGTCAGCAAAGCATATACTGCCTTTTTCGTTTGTTTGTTCTTAGTTTTAACGTTGCTCTGCCTTTGATTATAAAGTAGTACATGTTCAGAGTAAAAAAGAAATTTGAAGAAAAGAGATGGTCATGGTTGCACAACACTGTAAATGTAATTAATGTCATTGAATTGAACACTTAAAAATGGTTCAAATGGAAAATGTTGCATTATATTTTACCACAATAAAATTAAAAAAAAATTTTTTTTAATCTGTAAAGAATGTAAATGTGTAAAAATACACCACCATTTAGGGAGCCTGCTTGTGCTAGATCACAAGCTAGGCACTTCAGACCCTTTATTCATTCAACCCAACAGATGGAGAAATAAAGATCCAGTGAGTCTGTCATTTGTCTAAGGTCACACAGGTATTAATTTAACCCAAGACTTTCTGACTCCAAAGCCCACATTCTGACTAATGTCGGTGCCATACTGCCACAGAAAAATAATTACTCAGAATTCCACCATTCAAAGTACCCACTGTGAAGTCCTAGACAGATTTCCTTCCAGACGTCATTCCCCCATTTTTCTCAATATAGTTGAGTTTCATATTACTAAATTCATTTCTTTATATTCTTTATTCCAGAAAGGATTTAAGATGTTTTCATGCCAATATACAACTTTCTGCTTATTTCACTCATAGTAGTCAATTTCCCATGCAATTAAAAATTACAAACAATTTTAATAACTTGTTATTAATATTCCACCACACATGGACAGTTTCAAAGGATATTTTTTAAAAAATAACGAAGGAACCAAACAAAAAATCCCCTCAGCATCTGAAAGAAGTAATTCTATGAAATGTCATTTTTCTTCTTACCCAGCCCTAAGTGATTGCCAAGACAGCTCCAGACCATGGTCAAGACTTAGGATAGAGGCCTCTTTTCAAGGCTTTGGGAGGCTCAGTCATCTCAAAGCTGAAGGCAGAGTGATCCACAGGAGTCAGGTCTTAAGCACTCTGCTACCACTATAACTCACATCATACCTAAGGCAGCAGTGAGACAAGGAACTAGAGCTGAGGGCCACCACCAGGCTGCTCCCACTGGCTGGGGCAGGGGAGGGGGCTACTCAGGGGAGAAAATGACATTCGCTGCCCACCAATTTTGTAAAGGTCCCCATGTAAGCTCTTTATTTATATGTTGTTGTTGTTGTTAGCTGCTGTTGAGTCGGGTTCCCAACTCCTGGTGAACCTATGCACAACGGACCAAAATGCTGCCCAGTCCTGAGTCATCCCCATAATCGGTTGTGGATCAGACCATTGTGATCCATAGGGTTCTCACTGGCTGATTTTCGGAAGTAGGTTGCCAAGCCTTTCTTCCTAGTCCGTCTTAGTCTGGAAGTTCTGCTGAAACCTATCAGCATTATAGCAACACGCAAGCCTCCACTGATGGATGGGTGGTGACTACGCACGAGGTACACTGGCTAGGAAACGAACTGGGGTCTTCCACACGGAAGGCAGAAAGTCTACCACTGAACCACTGACGCATTTTATTTATATACATTATCCCATCTCATCCTTGCAATAGCCTTAGGGGGTGGGTGTTAGTAACCCTATTTCACAGGTGATGGGACAGACACAGAGAGATCAAATGCTTCGCCCTGGTCACACAGGAAGTGACAGAGTAAAGGTTCCATCTCAGCTCTGACTGAATCCACAAACAGTCCTCCGGTAGGTTTGCTGTCTGAATTCAGGCTACCTGTGTGGGCAGGAAAAGCTCAAGCCAAATATTTAATTTTAAGTGTTATTGGGTTGGCAGAAGCAAATACAAACCCTCTTTGGAGGAAAACAACTCCAAGCGAGGTCTCAAGGAATTCTCAAGATAAAGTTCCAAGAGAGTGAAATAAGGTCATAGTTTAAAAAACAAAAAAAAAAAACCTAATAACATACAAGGAAATAAGGCAATATGAGCCAGAGCCAGCAAAACAGGAGACGGAAGAATCAGACTCACAAAGACTTCAGATCTGGGACTGAGCAGACATAGTTTATGAAAAACCACATCTCAGAAATAAGAGCCTAGAAGTATGAACAAGAATAAAAGGTTATAAAGAGCAATCAAGTAGATTTTAAAAAAGAATCATATAGAATTTCTAGAAATGAAAAATGTAATAATTGAAATTAAGATGATCTAACACATGGGGTCGTCATGAGTTGGAATGGACTCGATGGCAGCTTACAACAACAAAACCCAAAAAACCAAACCCACCACTGCCACTGAGTTGATTCCGACTCACAGTGACCCCATAGGGTTTGCAAGGCTGTAAATCTCTACAGGAGCCGACTGCCACATCTTTTTCCCAAGGAGCTGCTGGTGGTTTCGAACCACCAACCTTTTGGTTAGCAGTCGATTGCTTTAACCACTGTGCCACCGGAGCTATGGGGATAAAGCAATAGTTGAAGAGATCATAAAAATGTCTATTCTCCCCTAAACAGATCTATAAATTCAATGTAATTCCAATAAAATTCCTAACTGGGAGATTTTTAAGGAACTTAGCAAGCTGATTTTAAAATTTATATAAAAGAACAAACATACTCCTGGAGAAGAATAAGGTGGGGGAACTTGCACTGCCAGTTATGAACACTAATTATAAAGCTATAGTACTAGAACCACCAAACCAGTTGCTGTCAAGTCGATTCTAACTCATGGAGGCCCCATGTGTGTCAGAGTAGAACTGTGCACCATAGGGTTTTCAATGGCTGATTTTTGGAAGTAGACTGCCAGGCCTTTCTTCCAAGGTACCTCTGAATGGACTTGAACCTCCAACTTTTCGGTTAGCAGACGAGTGCGATAACCATTTGCACCACCCAGAGTCATGGGCAGACAAATGGGCCAATGGAATAGAACAGAACCCAAAAATAGAACCAGGCATATATGGAAACTTGCTTAACATGAAAGGGAATACTGCAAATGTGTGAACTATCTGACAAATGCTGTTGGTTGGGACTACAGGTTTTCCATACAGAGAAACCTGAAAAGAATTCCTACCTCACGCCAGCCACAAAAATTAAAACCAGATGGATCAAAGACTTAAGTGTGAGAGACAGAAAGGAGACACTAGAGAAATAAGATTAGAGTTTTATCCAATGTGCCTTTTTGCAGAAGTCTGGCCTGGGGGTGTTTTTGTCATAATCAGAGAAGTAGCTCTGCTCCATGATTTCTGGATTCCTTTTCTCCTTGATTCCTCAGCATTGATGACTCCCTTTAACAGCTCTTTTGCATCAGGATTCACAGTCATTATGCAGTGATACTCTCAGGAACCACTGAAGTGTGGGACTTTGGTCCATCTACTTAATGACTCCAGACCTGGGCTTTTTAACTTCTTGCGCTGATGTCTATAGTTTTCCTGTCTCAGTCTTTGCTGGATGTCACTTCTTACTGCTCTCCGCCTATCTGCTGCTTCGAGCATGGGGAGAGGTCAGGTCCTGCTAAATGGGCTACTTCTAATCCGCTGAGGGTTAAGAAAAGGCATGACAAGCATGTCAGCATTGTCTAAATCAAGAACATTAGGTTCTAAGAAAGAGGCTTCCTAACAAGACTGCTTTGGGACATCTACTTGTCCTGCTCCTCCCCTTTTTAAACACCAGGTTTGGCTCTGCTCCCGACAATTGAGGCTGCAGGGCTGGTGACCCCAGGACACCTGAGCTGTGACTCTGTTCATGCCTCTGGCTCTCTCCAGAAAAGACCAAGGGACTGATCTTTAAGATAAACATAGCCCCAAGTTGTCACCTTTCCCAGGTGTCACCTCGGGAGGCCACAGGCATACCTGAGGGATGCTGCCTTTGCTGATTTATCCCCGGTTTCCTCATAAAACAGTCACCTCACCTCCACACACAGAAGCACGGCTTCCTAATTGTCAGGTATACACTCCTCCCCCACAGATGGGCACAATGTGAGTGAACCTCTCCAAGTATTAGCAGCATATGCAGTGACCCAGGATACAAACTGTTTTTTTAAAATCCTCACCCTCCACACAGGGCCTTTTGGGCTGAAAATATTAGAATAAGGTGGTGGTGGAGAGAAGAGGGGAGGTGGATGTAAGAAATCAGCAGCAGAAACCTAACCTGTATCTCGCCAATGCCTCTCAGAGCCAGCAGAGGGCAGCAGTAGCACCTATGGGCGGTCACTGGCATCCCATCATCAGTGAGTCAAATACAACATGAAAATATCTGAGAAAGTTCTCCAGGCCCAAGGCTTGCAGGTATAAGAGACATGCCAATGCGTCCGGGCCCTACACACTGGTGCTTACAATCTGAGGCACAGAGATAGACAAAAACAAAAGGAAGGTTTTAATCCAAGCATACAAGCAAATTGATGAACATTTTAATTTCATTTGCTTTTAGAAATAAAAATGTTCCATAGTTAGTTGAATCAAAAATATTGGGCAGTGGAAAGGGTGTTGTTGGGTGCTGTCAAGTTGACTCTGACTCATAGAGACCCCATGTGACAGAGTAGAACTGCCACATAGGGTTTCCTAGGCTGTCATCTTTACGGAAGCAGATCACCAGGTCTTCCTCCCACGGAGCTGCTGGGTGGGTTCAAACTGCCAACCTTTCGGTTAGGAGCCAAGCACTCAACCATTGTGCCACCAGGATGTGAAGACTCTCAAATGCTGCAAAAATTGGCACAGACTTTCTGGAGAGCCTTTGATATGGCACCAAAAAACTTTTTAAAAATGTACATCCCTTTGGCTTGGGAATTTGATTTCTAAGAATTTATTCTAAGAAAATAAGTGTGTGGCAAAGATTTATCTCCAAAGCTGTTTAACTTAGTGTG